AAACCCTAATCCCAATTTTGTAAGCTACAACACAATTCGAGCTTTGTTTCTTGATTTACTTTGAAATTCCCCAATTTACACAGACCAATAAGTAACTTTTACGCTAGAACTCCTCGAAAGAAGTCAGAAACCCTAACCCCAATTCTTTATGCTGCAACACAGTTCGCGATTTCTTTGTTGATTTCCTTTAAATTCCCCAAAATTTAGAGAAAACAAGAAAGAGGATTCACACAAGAAGTCCTGAGTTGTAACGAGAGATGTAGTATGTACCTGATCACCGGCCATTCTGAGCTCCGGCCTCCGGCGAGCGTGACAAAAAGGAGAAAATTTTGTTTTCCTCTTTTGGCGAGTTAGAGAAATGGAAAAAGAAAGCCCTTTTTGATTAAATTTTCAGGTCATAAAGAGACCCCATCAGCCAAACAACTACATGTGAATACAGCTCTTCTTTCTTTTGGTATGTCGTGAGGCGATGAGAGAGAAAGTGAGCAAATAGTCTATGACTATTACTTTGCTTCACCCCACAAAAACTCAAAAAAGGGTGTTTTATATTCTTGAAATTGCAATGATGCCAATCCTTTTTTACAAACCGAGATTTATGGTATTTGACAAACGCAAAAGATGGGCCTTTCGCCATTAAAAGTCTCGACCATGGTGGTGGCTTTTGAAAGAGCCCTCATTGCAAACCTTTGGAAAAAGACAAAAGAAAAAATTATTTCCTTTTTTTATAGTTTTCTTTTTTGAATGTCATGATGTTAAAATACGAGGTCTCACTAAGAAACACTTTTTTTGTAATTGTATAAACTTTTTTTCTTTTTAGAAGAGGATATAAAGTGTTGTAAGTGCGTTTAGATATTGGTTGTTTGATATATTAAATACTCAAAATTTGATAACTAACAGTAAAAAACAAAAACAAAAACAAAAAAAAAAAAAAAAAACATGTATGGTATGATGTTTGGATGTCTTTCTATTTATATGAAGTTGTAGTAATAATTTGTCTTCTTTCTATCATTTGTTAAATCTTGGTTATTTAAAATAAAGTTTAATATTAGTGGTTTTTCCAAATTAAGTCTCAACTTTATTTATTTATTTATTTTTTTATGAAAAAGTCTTGTATTTTTTCCATTTCTTGAATTAGTTGTTTTTTTCCTAAAAAATCTTGTGAAGTGTGAGGGTTTTCTTTTGAAAAAAATAATAATAAGGGTTTTCGATAATAATAAATAAATAAGAGGTTGAGGGTTTTTTTTTAAATAGAAAAAGTTGAGGGATTTTTCGGTTTTTTAGAAAAAAAATGGAGGGTTTTTTAAAGAAAAAAATAAAATTGAGTTTTAATCCAGAAAATAAGGTCTTTTATGATTTTAATCTTTAATAAATTAATTGATAAAATGAAAAAAAAATGTATATCATTTTTGGGTATTGCTGGCAAATTTAAACTAAAATTATGATAATTTTTTGAACAAATTACATGAATGGTTCTTTAGGTTTTGGATTTTTCCCTAATGTAGTCTCTATGGTATTTTTTTCCCTCAAATGGTGTAACATCCCAAGTTCAAGTATACCTTGTAACCCTTGGTCAGTAACATCCCCCTCTGGCCCGTATCACAATATTGTCCGCTTTGGGCCACTCGGTACGAGGACTTCCTAAGGGGTTACCCATCCTGGTACTACTTCCGCCCGAGCACACTTAATTGCAGAGTTCTTATGGGATCTGCTGCCCTCACGGCTTTAAAACGCATTGTGATAGGGAAGGTATCCACACCCCTTATAAGGAATGCTTAGTTCTCCTTCCCAGCCGATGTTAGATCTGATCCCACATCGGCTAGGAAGGAGAACTAAGCATTCCTTATAAGGGGTGTGGATACCTTCCCTATCACAACGCGTTTTAAAGCCGTGAGGGCAGCAGATCCCATAAGAACTCTGCAGTTAAGCGTGCTCGGGCAGGAGTAGTACCAGGATGGGTGACCCCCTGGGAAGTCCTCGTGCCGAGTGGCCCAAAGCGGACAATATTGTGATACGTGCCATAGGGGGATGTTACAAATCGTATCAAAGCCAGGGCACGGGTCGATGTGTTCGACGGGGACGTCGAACCCAATAATGGGGGGTGAAAGTGGGTTAGATCTGATCCCACATCGGTTGGGAAGGAGAACTAAGCATTCCTTATAAGGGGTGTGGATACCTTCCCTATCACAACGCGTTTTAAAGCCGTGAGGGCAGCAGATCCCATAAGAACTCTGCAGTTAAGCGTGCTCGGGCGGGAGTAGTACCAGGATGGGTGACCCCTGGGAAGTCCTCGTGTCGAGTGGCCCAAAGCGGACAATATTGTGATACGTGCCAGAGGGGGGTGTTACATGGTCTTTTGAGTACTTGTCTATTTTAGTCCCTTTATGAGAAAAGGTGGTGAATGAGTATGCGGGGCGTACGCGAGTGTACGCTCAGCGTACTCATATGCCTGCATTTGACACGGAAGTCACCTAGTACGTTGGGCGTACTAGGCCCATAGTGAAAACCCTAATTTAGGGTGAGACCCCTTATTTAAAGGATATAATGGCCTTTCCTAGCCACCATTCTCAGACAACAACCCTCCTATACCTTAGTTTTTGTTCTTAAAGCTTGTGAGTGCATTTGAGAGCCTTGAGAGCATTCTTGTGTTTCTTTGGAGTGAAGAAAGAGCCTTGAAGAAGAAGGAGTGGGATTCCAGGCTTTGGATTTGAGCTTATCTGAGTGTGAAGCTTCGTTTTGAGGTACAAAGCTTAAAGCTTACTCATTTTTTTGATTTGTGCATCATAGTAGAGTATTTTAGGGTTTTGTCCCAAAACTTGGATATTTTATGTGATATTGAGCTCCAAAGGCTATGATCAACCCCCTTTGAGTGTATTTAGTGGTGTAGTGTCATAAAAATCCAATCTTGGACGTTGGAATCAAGCCATGCATAAGATATGGGCTTTTGGGGATAAGAGAGTGAGTGTTTTGTGTGCTTGTGACCATTTCAGCCATGCAAAGGCTTAAAGTCACTGACTTTATTGATCAAGAGCTATTAGGGAGTCCAGATCTGTGACATGAGCTAAGGTCTTAACTAATTAAGACCAAATTAGTGAGATGAATGAAACTGGGATGTACGCTGAGCATAATCCCAGTACGCGCAGCGTAGGGGTCGAGAATCCCCTATGCATGCATGAAAGCAGAGTACGCCCAACGTAGAGAGCTAGTATGCGCAGCGTACTCTCTGCCGTTGACTTTTAGGGTTTGGTTTGTGGACTATCAATGCCATTCAGGGGTAAAATGGTCTTTTACCATTTTGTGAGTTGTAGAAGGGTTATTTTAGCTCATTGAGAGCCGTGATTAATTAGGGATAATTGTCGTATGTGTTAGGCGGAGGCTAGACCGGTGATTTCAGATCGAGATTAGTCGATTTCTTGCAAGGTGAGTCTTCTCACTATACTTACCATTAGTGGTATATTTGTGTGACTGAGATATCTTATGTGCTTATCTATGTATTATGATACTTTGCATTTATATCCTTGTGGTTTATGCTTATCGTTATGAACTTATTGAGTTAGGGCCGGAGGGTCTACCCGAGTTGTGGGACCGGAGGGTCTCCATTGAAACACATTGACCAGAGGGTCGTATTGAGTTAGCCTCGAGTGGCTAATGTGATGTGTGTGGTATTTTGGGGAACTCACTAAGCTTCGTGTTTACCGAGTCATGTGTTATGTGTTTCAGGTACTTCTAAGGATCTCGTGAAGGTACCGACTTGATTGTATACACATCAGAGATTGATTTATGATTGAGAGGATCCTGGAGTTTGATACATAGACAGTTTTTGGATATGAGAATTGATAATTTGACATTGTGACATTTTGTGATTTTATTATTGAGACAAATGTGTTTTAAAATTGAAAATTTTGGTTTGAAAATTTTACGTCGTTACAAATAGTACCTACGGACCATAAGTTGCACGCGTTTGGTCCCGAGTTGGATGTCCGTCCATTCCAACATTAAGTTGCCCCCATATGACTTACACATGAGGGTATTTATGTTATTTTACCCTAAAGGACCTTTTCTGAACATATAAATTAATAGTTATATCCATTAAGGTGGCGGGGGTTTAGTTTCAGACGTTGACTTTAAACTCTATCTCTTTCCCCAAGAAAACCTTTTGATCATCCCATTTTCTTCAATCGTGAGTTCTTATCGTTGTCTGACAAAATAGATCAACTGATTGAAGGGTGTGTCGAGGAATGGTGTTCACATTGTGGTCTTTACATCCACGCTACACCCAACTACCTGACTTACGTAAAGAATATGGTAAGAACAGACCTTGTAATGCTAGGTTTGATGAAATGTAATTTTGCTTTCCTCCATCGTTATCATTTTATTGTTCTTGAATTTTCACATCAGGTTCTATTTCAAGCTTGTGCACATTCAAGTAGGGGTGGAATTGGTACGGTACCAAATCATTTTTCTCTAAACCGTGTACCGTACCAACTATAATTGGTATTAAAATATTGCTACCGGTACCGTATCAAGTATACTTGGTACCAATTTATTTGGCTACCAACAAGTTTGGTTGGTACAAATTGATAATGGTACATACCAACTTCTTTTAATTTTCTGTTGTAAGATTTAAAATTAAGTAAAGACATCGGGATTTTGATGTGTAGTATAGAAATTAGTTACGTAGTTCTTTTAGTTTACAAAAGAATTATACTTAAGTAACGCTAAAGTAACGTTTTAATATTGTGCTTTAATGTGGTAATAACTATTGACTAATACGACCAAATGACCAATATAATGTTATTAAAACTGTAAACACTAAATACAATTAATAGTTGAAATATATATATATATATATATATATATATATTATATATATATATATACCATGGTATTCCAATTTTTGTACCATTGTCGTACCAACATTGATCAATTGGTACGGTACTACCAACCAAACATGTTGGCTACCAAATATATTGGCTACCAAGTTTCTTGGTTCGGTTAGTAACATGTTGGTTGGTTTTCCATGGTACAATTTTGCCAGCCTTACATTCAAGATAAATCATGGGAGTTCGTTCAGAAATACGGTATTTGGAAGGTCATACATAGATGGGCTTGTGGATCACTTTGATTTTGTGGACATGGATGTGTTTTCAGTGCACGAGTTAGATAATATGATGTCAGTTTTAGGGTACAATGATGGAGGTATAATGTTTTACCATTTCATGATCCCAGAGACAAACTTAGATAATGGATTGTTACCTCTTGGCACCGATCAGGAAGTCATTCAGCTGGCAAGGTATGTGCTTAATCATAAGGAAATTAATTTGTACATCAAGCATGGAAATACTAGAGTAATCCCTTTCTTTAAGTCCCTATTGAAGGTTCTTATTGAGGAGTTGAAAGGAATCATTCTCCTGAAATGAATAGGGTTAGAATGAAAAGGAAATCAATTGGGTCATCTAGTAAAAAGTTGGATTTGAATGAGTCCACTGATTTGTCAAAGTTGATTGTACCCTATGAACCTGTGATCAACAAAAAAACACTCAATTAATCGAGAGAGTGGTCCCTTTAGGGGGTATAGTTTGAGGATAACCATGGTAAAAAAGTTGTTGACACAGTGGATGATCACCAACCAAAAGGGGATGTTGATCCAATGGATGATTATGAGGTAATGGGGGATGTAGACGCAGAATATGGTGGGGAAAAAATCTACATGATGTTGAGTTTTTTGAGGATGAATATAGTGGAAGTAAGGAAAGTGTTAGTGAGGGTCCTTGGAGTGAGGGTATTAAGAGTGAGGGTAATATGACAGATAATGATATTGAGGATAAATACTTGTTTGTGGATTTAGAAAACATTGTAGATGATGTGGATGTTGATATGAAACATTTCATATACATGTGATGAAGATGTTGATTGGGTTCAAAAAATGACCAAAGAAGCAAGTGGTAGTAGTGTTGTTGACTTTACTGAATATGAAGATTTGGAGGTAATAGACCCAGAATCGTTTGAGTCACCTATTGTAGATGAATATAACAAGAGAGGGAGGATGTTAAGAGACATAAGAAATGCAAAAAGTTGTTCTGAGGGTGTAGTTCATCCAAAGGCTTTCATATTAGGATAAAAGTTCAAAACAAAGAAAGATGTGAAAGAATATACAAACAAACATACATTAGAAACCAAAAGGATTTACATTTTGAAAAAAAAAAAGACAAAACAAGGATTAGGGCTAAGTGTAGAGGAGTGGTCCCATATATGAGTGGTGGGTCGTGGACAAGTCAAGGACTGGATTCAAGGACAAAACAATAAATATGAAAGAGGGTAAATGTCCTTGGGTTGTACTTGTGTCTAGACCTAAAGAGATAGATGACTGGGTGGTGAACACCCTAGTTAGTGAACATCAATGTGTGTAGTCAAGAACCATTAAAGCCTGCAACTACAAATACATTGCAACAAACATTCTGAAGCAAATTGAGAGTAATCCAACCATTCCAGTCAATGCACTTCAAGAAGATCTCATCCAAAAATTCGAGATGAACATGTCAAGAATGAAGGTACATCGGGAAAAGGCATTGGTTCATAAGCATGTTTTTGGGGTAGATTCCAATAATGGGATATATCCTTTTGCATATGCTCTTGTTGGGAATGAATCCACACATTCATAGACATGGTTTTTGGAACAACTTGGTGATGATCTGAAACTTTATGCTAATTCAAACTTCACTTTCATATCAGATAAGCAGAAGGTACATATACTTCAATTTAATTTGTTATTGTTGTTATTTAGTCAACTAAGTATTAAAATATTTAAATAGGGTATCATTCATGCAGTTTCCAAACTTTTCCCTCAAGCTGAGCATAGGTTCTGTCTGAGGCATATTCATGAAAATATGAAAAGACAGTTGAAGGATAAAGAGCTCAAAGATTTTGTGTGGACATGTGCAACTTTTACTACTATAAGGCATTTTGATAAAGCATTAAAAGAGCTAAAGAAACTCAATGTTGAAGCTCATGATTGGCTAATACAGATTCCTCCAACTCATTAGGCAAGATCTCATTTCTCAGGTTAGCACTTCATCTTTTAATTATGTTCACATTTACTTGTCACTGTTAGGATTTGTTCTCATTTTGTATTATATGACTAAACAGGGAGGGCACATACTAACAACTTGTTGAATAACCTGTGTGAGGTTCTGAATGGAAAAATACAAGGTGGTAGGGATAAAACTATCATTTATTGTTTGGAGTATATTAGAGAGTATCTGATGAAGAGCATTTGCATTGTCCAAAGAGAGATTGATAGATGTCATGGTCCTCTCACACCAACTGCCACTATTCTTCTTGATCAAATGAAAAGACAAGCATAAAAGCACCGGTGTATTTTCAATAGGGTTAAGACTCAAGTCACTACTCATTGGGGTGATCAGTTTATTGTGAATTTTGATGAAAAAACATGCACATGTAGACATTGGGAAATTACAGGCATGTTATGCTAACATGCAATAAGTGCAATATGGGACAAGATTAAACATGGAGCAAAGAATGTTCCTGAGCTGGAGCATTGGGTCCACCAATGCTACTAGCTAATTACATGGACAAAAGTGTACAAACACAAAATTGAGCCTATAAATGGTAGATTGATGTGGCCCAAATTACAATGCCCAACCAAGTTTCTTCCACCCAAACATGTTATCCAGGTATGTCTTCATATATCAATATAATTGTAGTTTCTGAAGAACAACAATTTAATCTTATGTACATTTGTAGGTGGGTAGGCCCAAGAAGAAAAGAAAGAGGGCATATGATGAACCTGCTACACAGGGGCATAAACTATCCAAGAAGTGGACCACTATCATATGTGGAAAAAGTGCAACAACAAAGGGTATAATTCAAGAGCTTTTAAAGGTCAAAGTGGCCCTAATGACAAAAGAACTGAAGACACAGGAGGATAAAAGTGAGGATGGGGGTGTTGTTGAGAACCATTAGGTCTTTTGATGTAATTTTCACTTTACTTTTATGGTTATGTTAACACCTATGTTTATGTACCAAACAATACTTACTTTGGGCTCCTTATTTTGTATGGGCATGCATGTTGACCTTGAATCATTGTACACATATGTAAACTATGAAACAATGTCAACTGTTGTTGTGATATACAATAACATTTTTGTTATATTGTTGTTCTTGTCAAGTAGTATTTGTGATATTCAAAGTCTATGGTCATGCATTTTGAATTGGTGTTCTTGTCAAATAATATTTGATTACACAAAGCCATGACAGAATAACCTTGTTTTGAAATTAAACCATTTGATTACACAAAGACTATAACATTGAGACAACGTTAACCAGAACATAATTTCCTACAGTCAAA